ACCATTTTCCTTGATGCTCACAAAAGTTATATAGGTCTTGAATTAAACGTGGTTCAAGGGAGCTGTTAGGCGGCCAGATGTTTTGATTGTCCAATTGATATTGGGGCCAAATTTGAGTGGATAAGCGAACTAGCCACTTGGGTTTTAGATCAAGGTCCTCCAAATTCCTGAGTAAGCATCCCAAAGGAGAGTCTACAGGTATGGAAGAGGCAGAGCCCATGACCACCAGGACAGGAGGTTATCAGAAGTCCAGACATCTCTGAGAGTTCTGATGAGGCCCCCTTTTCTAGACCCAGTCTAGAAGGTGGAACTCAATCTTTCTGCAGAGAAATTTCTCATGCAGGAAGTGAGTTTTAAAGTGGAAAGCCTCTCTACTCCTTCAAGGTGTCCTGAGCAAGGGCAGAGAAGGCCCGGTTGAGTCCTGGACTTCAACCTAACAAACCAGAGGTTTGCAGTGAAGGATGAAGGGCCTGACGCCAGGCCACGTCCGACGTGGATGTCCTCGTGTAGGTCTGGGACCCTGGGATCTCCCGCTACCTGAAAGACGTCTCAGAAGTGGGGGACTTACCCAATATCTGGTGCAGGCCTGAAAATAGGTGGATCCGTGTTGGCTGCGAGAATGGCACCAAGGAAGGTGGTTGTGGACATCAGGTGGGGCTGAGTTGGGGCATCTTGGTATCTCGGTTTTGGGTCCCCAGTTATGTTAACCTGTGAGCCCGGCAATCCCGGATCCCACTTCTGACACCAATGAAAGGGAACAGCGACGACGCTAAACAACTAGGCCACACATACCAAGAGGTCTGACTGGAGATTTTATTCAAGGAGTGGGAGCAGAGAGAGAGAGAGAGAGAGAGAGAGAGAGAGAAAGGAAGTGCAGAGGTATTTATGAGCCAATTAGGAAGGCTCTCCCATCAGGTTTAGGCGGGCCACTCTTAACCTATCACAGGCTATGTTATGTGCTAATGTGGTCTTAAGGAAAAGGAAACTTTAAGACAATGGTTTTAGGGGTACAAGAACCTGGAAGTCCAGCCCAAAATGGCGGTGTCACAAAACACTTTAACATGATCAATTCCCTAACAGCTAGGGATGCTCTACATCCCACCATGCAAATGATACTGCTGCAATGAACATATCCCCCCAAAGTCCAATGGCACCCCTTGAGAAAGACCAAGGTAAGAGAAGGGGAAGAGAGAAGAGGAGGGGGTAAATGGATGCAGCAATGACAGCAGAGAAAAGGGTGGAAGGTCTCTAAGAATCGTTATGGTGGATCAACCCTGGGCCTAGGGTGCAGGACCAAACAAAGGAGGAATTACCAAAACTTTCAGGAAGAAGGCTGAGATCACTCTTGAGGTGGCTGTGATATCCTCACAGGTCAGAGATGACCCTACAGGTTCTTAGCTCTCAAAGACAGGGACCAAACTATCCTTCTGGGTCCCTTGTAAAGATTCTGGGCGTAGGGACTTGCTAGCTCCCTTTATACTATGGGTAGAATCCTGAGGGTACTTCTTTCTTTACCTTCAACTCCTAGGAACACTTTTTCTGGGCTTCATCCATTGCCCTGGGATCAACCCAAAGGCAAGGGATGTTTTTCCTTTAGATTTTGGATCCTCAGAGAAGACACAGGGTCCCTTCTACAAGGCTGAGAGTTTCTAGGATTCAATCCCCAGTAGGGCAAGTATAACTTTGGACTTGCAGCCAAGTCTCATACTTTTTTTCACACCCAATAGTCATCATGAAAAAACTCATGCCTGTGGACGTATATACCTGAGAGGAAAACGATACCATGTGGCTGATCTTCACAGGAGCCATGACAGGCCTACCACCTACCCCAAATGTAAGACAAAATGCTTTCTTCCAAATTTCTTCTGTCATAACTTTGGCACAGCCTATGTTTTGATCTTATTAGTTTACAGAAGAACAAAAGTCCTCACATCATTCCTGAAAAAGAAAACAAACAAAAACAAACTACTCATAGGCTGGCCATGGTAGCTCATGCCTGTAATACCAGCTCTTGGGAGGCTGAAGCAGGAGGATTGGCTTGAGTTTGAGACCAGCCTAGGCTACAAAGAGAGTTCAACTGCATAGTGAGATACCCTCTCAAAGCAAAAGAAAATAAACTATTTATAACTGTTCCTCTGATAATAGGAGTTATTTGTAATTGTTGGCCTTTCTCTTCTTCCTCTCCTTCCCTTCCCTTTCCTTCCTTCCTTCCTTCCCTTGCCTTTCCCTTTGTTCTTTCCTTCTTTCCTATGGAAGTGCGGATCAAACCCATGACCTCAATCATGAAGCACAATAAGCAATGAGCTACATCCCTAACCTCCAGACCATTACTGATGACTACCACGGGCCTCATGGGTGTGATAGGCAGGGAACAGATCTGCAGCACCTAACTCCAGCGAATGTGAATCAAGTGGAATCTAACCTCAAAGCAACAGAGCAGCAAGTATAAATATACTAATATGTTAATGTTGGATTTGTATGTAGTTAAGCTCCCAAGAGCATAAACTATACCTTAAATCATTCATCTTTAGATCCTGAGAGCCTAGCACACAGTATGGAGGGGCAGTAAATATTTAAATATATGATACAAGTTTTTTGTTCTGTTCAGTGAATCATTCAAAATTAATTTTTAATTAGGTTATTTATTACAAATCTTGCATGACCTACTGATGTAAGCAAATTCCTTGCTAACTGGCAGTACTTAAATATTAATGGAGCCTGGCCCCTCAAAGCATCTGAGACAGAGTGGTTTAATCTGGCTCACAGTGTTGGGGCATTCAGTCTGTGGAGCTGGCTCCAAGGCACAAATACCACAGTGGAGGAGCGTGGTGGAGCAAAGAGCGCTTCGAGGATGCAGAGCAAGAGAGTGATGCCAAAGAGGAAGGGGGAAGGGATGAGACAAAGACCTCAATTCCACACTTCTGTGACCCACCCAGGCACACTCAGAAGTGTGCTCCACCAATGCCCTGGGCGGATTCCAAAGTCAGGCAACGCCCCCCCCATGTATAGGCAAATATTTTAAAATCTGAAAAAACCAAAATCTGAAACTCTTCTGGCTCTAGATAGTTCAGATAAGGGATATTCCACCTGCATATGTTTGTCATTCGATGTGAAAAATTCTACCATCTCTCATCACCAACATCAGATGTCTGATTTAGCCAGTCCCCGAACCACATACTTGGCTTTAGGACTCTATAAATAGTGTTAATTGTAGATACTTAATTTAGTTAATATCTTGGGGAATTGTGTAGTAGGTACCAGCATTGTATTAGGTGCTGGATACACAGTGGTGAATGCATACATAACCGTTTGCATCAAGTTCATTATCTATTGAGTTGCTTATAGTTCGCAAAGGATTAAATTCTTTCAGCATTTTTTTTTTTTTTTTTTTTTTTTTTT